CCCCCCCCAACCCCCCCCCCTTTACTCCCACATACACTCCCCCTCCTCCTCCTCCTGTTCCTCTCTATCCTCGACAGGCCAGGTGAGGGAGGCCGGCCGGATAGCAAGAGGGTCGAACACACAGGGTGAGCCAGCGGCGCCGCGCGCGCGGCCAAACATTGTTCGATAAGGCTGCGTACATATTAGCTCGTATAACCGTACGTCACCCCCGCGGCTCGAGCAACCATGTTATACTAATTAATTGCGATATAGACGAACGGACGCGACTAACGTGGCGATGTCGAGTACGGGGAGAACTATGGAGGTCCTTTTTAGTCTTCTTGGGATTAGAGATTAGAGTATGTAGATTGATACAAGCATTACAGACTTCTTCACCTGCAGGGTTTTTTCAATATATGGAGCAGGGTTTGTTCTTTCGGCGAATTTACTTCTTATGTGTGGTTGTAGATTGTTTGTTCGAGGACGTTGTGTACTGGGTAGTCAGTTAAGGGTGGTTTAGGATTTGTGAATATTCGAAGTATTGTATACAGTGACTCACAAGTTTCACGAAAGGCTGATATTGATTAAATTGTGTATCGAAATGCAAATTTGATTTCAAAGCTAGGGAAAGTGATCGCAGAAGGATGATGAACGTGATAATAGTGAGAATATATAAATAGAAATTGTAGACACGTTTTGACACGTAATTGTTGTTTCGGTAGTCTGTGAACGATTGTGTGAGTCACTGTATCATAAATATTTCGAATGAGAATACTTTCATTATTTTGGCAAGCAAATATGTATATCAATGACTCCACTTGTGACGTGGTAGCAAATTTCAGTCCATGTACAATCACGTTCTTTTAAAAAACGACTGTAGCCAAGAAAGACTTTTTCTCAGTAATGGCCCAGCAGTTGTATTTAATACTAACGACTCAGACTCCCTCCATACGAAACGAAACAACATTTACATCTCGTTGAATCGAGTCGAGTTACAAGCAACCCCCACAGCAGCAACTTGCAAAAATTTTAGCTACTAAACAACTATACCTTATTCAACGAGACCAGTTAGTAAAAATAACCAAAACATTCGCGTGCTAAACCCAGCTATCGGCAACTGTCCCTGCCCCACCTAAATGGCCATCACTACCCTTTCTATATACACTAATTCCTCGATGAGTGTTCGTTTTCTGCTAAAACAAATGCCATTGACCTCAGAATTCCAAGCTCTATCACTGCACTAAATCTCATTAAAAAGTCAATATTACACCTGAGGAGCTTTCCTTGTCAGTGCCAAGGAGCCTTCGAGCACTCATCGCGGATTTACTGTACATAGTTACTAACTCGACCGATAACAACATAAAGTATACACGATAAATGAATTGCAATTGCTTGTACAAAAAAATGACTCACTAACAGATGTTACGTGGAATTCGACTCGTTACCGAACAGTCATTAGTACGATCCCCCCGCCACACCACTCAAAATTAGAGTCCCGGTCTTAATCAGACCAAGGTGCATCAAGATCTCATCGCAACGACCCCTAAATCGCGCAAAGAAACGAGAGCGCACTAAGGAACCGGTGAAGATAAAATCCCCGAAGTAGCTCGCGGATTCGTCGACGGTGTTTAATGTACCCCGTGTGCAGCAGCATGGCGCGCGTTTAGGGCGCTTAATGAAAGGGCGTCGTCGCCCTCCTCGAGAGATAAAGAACAGGCGGGTAGACCAGGCGCATGGAAGACGTCGCGGGAAACGGAGAGGTATCGTACAACAGACATGGTGGTGTAGAACACGGAAAAGAAAAGACGGAAGTGGAGAGAAAAAAAAAATTGGCAAGGGTTGTACGTGGGGGGTGGAGACCAGGAAAAAGAGAAAAAAATAAAGAGGGGGTGGAGGGTGGTGGTGGAGCGAACGAGAAAGAGGAAGCACACGCCGCATTCGCACATTCACACTCACCTGGATACGTGCCTCAGGCAATCCAATCTTCTCGGCGAGACGCTCCCGTGCAAACACGTCCGGGTAATGTGTCCGCTCGAATTCTAAAACGAAACCAGTTTGCAACAAGTGCTCGTTATTAAACATGGCCTCCTACGTGGATCCGTTCGCGACACACGTTCTTACGCCCTCACATATATACACGCAGTCTCTTTTTCTATTGCAAAGTGTGTATATATATGTATATATATATATATATATATTATTAATCGTGCATAATTTCGAATCACCACGAGACAAGATTAAAAGGATAATTATCGACGATACTCGAAAGCTTCGGGGGCCGACTTGAATGGCCGCGGATCCAATTAAAGCTGTTATAACGTGCACGCGAGCACGCGCGCGTATACGAGTGCTTGGCGAAAGCCCCGATATCCCTGGAAAGCAGTAATTTACGTGGGACGGTCTGGAATGTATGTAGGCGTATAACGCGGCTGAATCGGTCCGAGTACGTGCGAGATCGGCCGATATTTATGTCGTTACTGATGCCTACGCGGAAATGAATCTTTCATTGCACTCCGGAGGGGGTGAAAGGTTTATCGCGTTGAGAGGCTTGGAACTGTGTGCAGAGGGTGATTCTAATGTCAGAACGTTTCAGGGCATTATTCTTAACGTTAATATCGACGGAAAAGTATTTGTGGTATTATTGAGATATGTACTATCAATGAGGGTTGCAATTGATATAGAAAGTAGAATGAATAGGACTTGAAATTCAACAATAATGTGACATCAAAAATATTGGAATGAATTTTGTACAGGAAACGGTTAGACCAGAGGTGGGCAAACTTTTCGATAATATGAGCCACGTATAATACTTTTCGTAATGTTTTGATAGTTCAAGAGCCACTAAATTAAAATATTCTAATATTAGTGAATACTATGCTACTATTGATTAATTATAGAAATGTTTAGGAAAAATAGAAATGAAAAAGTTGATATAAACTAATTTGTAATAATTGCAACCCTCGTTTAGAATATATGTTATATAAGTTAATGATGTTTCAATGAATACAGTTAAAGAATAAGTGATTACACTTCAGGAATTACAAATATTCATTACAATTTTGAGTTACCAACCTTTTTCGAGGCTGTCGATCTGTTCGTTGGAAAATGACGTTCGGTTGCGCTGCAACTTCCGTTTTAGCCTCAGCCGTACCTGCGAGTCTTCGTCGCCAGACGAATTGTGCTCCGAATTACCATCTGACGTCGTCTCCTGCTGATGGGACAATAACGATCCTGTATCTGAAAACATATTTTAATGCCCTTGGATTATACGATCCGTCCCACGATCACAATACGTGGCTATAAAACCACCCTAAAATTTCAATTCTTACGTATTTTAGTTCAAATAAAAACGAACCAAGTATATAATGTCTGAAATTCTGTTGAGAAATAATGTTTCTGCAGAAAAGAATAGTTTATATACCCTATAAAAAAAGTGGTTCACTTTAATTTTAACCAGAATACATAAGGATTTAAAATTTTAGGGTGGTTTTACAGTTATGCTACGCAGTGTAAGACAGTTCTGTTTCTTTTAATCATCATCAACATCCTAACCACCAGGATCCTACTAACTTCAATAATACAGGGTGTCCCACCTAACGTGACCACCTTCAATATCTCACTTGCTTTTGAAGATACAAAAAAATGTGAGGGGAAAGTATTATATGGTTAGGTAGAACAAATACTACGATAAACAACCATTTTTCTCAAGGTCATATTTTTCGAAATTTTATGGTCATCGATGGTATTTTAAACAGGACACCATATTTTTATCAGCATAACGTAATAGTTGAGATCAAGACAGTGTGACCTTCATGTGACCTCAGGGGCGAAAAATCCACAAATATATAAGAGTAGATTTAAATACTAAAATAACTACGATACGAAAGATCAGTGCAAAAATGTATCAAAGTTGATGGGCATCACTTAGAGCATTTATTAAAATAAATTTTCTGCAAATCAAAAGGAAGTGATATACTAAAGATGCTCACATCAGGGGGACATTCTGTATAATCAAGTTACCATTCCCAAAACTCTTCTCGAAATCATCACCAGCATGAACCACAACAGTCCACAGATTCTTCGCGGACAATCATTCAACCGAAAACGACTTCCCTTGAATCGTCCACGGAACATCTACTTCTTCCCAGGAGGAGCAACCTGAGGAGGGGGTGGCTACCTCCGTCTTTTCGGGAGCTATTCCCTCGTTAACCGTAGAACACACGAGTGATTTACCAAAAGCTGACGGGGTAGAAGGAGGGCGCGCGAAGGTGGAGAAAATTCGGTACGGTTCTCGAGCGTTTCGTTCGGTGCCATTCGAACTTTCCGCCGGTTCGCATCGAGTAGAGCGATCCAATTAAGACCCCGTCCGTGGTAGTATCGTTCCACTGATTTCGCAACGAGCCCGACACGGACCAACGTCCTCGGGATTCCTCGACACCGAGAGGTCCACCTTTCGGCTAACCTAGGTCCCCGCGTAGTCTTCCTGGGTCGTGTTAGTGCGTACGTACATAGAGAGTAAGAGAAAGAATAAGAGATAGAGAAACACAGAGAGAGAGAGAGAAAGAGAGAAAGAGAGATAGTCGCGGTAGCCGTCGTCAGCTCCCGGTGAGCCGCGATTACTTTCCGCCTCCGCGCACCGAACCCTCGCCCTCTTTCCATCCCTCCCGATACCTTCCTGCCATTTCCCTTTCCCTCTGTCCGTGTCCGTCCCTCCGTACGGTACCTATATATTCGCCCTTACGGTATATATGTATTCTCTAGATTGTACCTATATATCGTCCGCTCGTCAGCTGCTCGCTTTCTCGTTCGCTCATCTCTCGCGCATCGCGCAACCCTCATCCATCCTCCTCCACCTCCTCGACCCTACGAAAATCTCTCGTTTGCCACCCTCTCTATCCCCCCTGGCGCCCTTCTGCCGATTCGAAATACCGCCACCCTCAAACGTACACCCCGTCCTCCCCCAGCCGGCACACCGTTTCATCCCTCGCGTCCGAAACCCATCCCTCCCCCTCTGTATATTTCACCCCCGCTACCCTTTCATCCCGCCGAACACCCTCGAGGGCGCGTAACGACCGACGATTTCGGGCTAGTCCGTTCCAGGCGCGTTCCCCCCTCCCCCATAGTTGGCTTTAATTTTCTAGGTGACGACGCATCATCGCGCGCGGAGGGAAGAAATGGGATCCCGTATGCCTCGACTGCGTTGCTTCCGACGACAAACCCAGGGCTGGGAACGGTTCTCGAAAACACGGGGAAGGTCGTTCGCAGTTGAACCGTTACGTATCAGTTATTCTTTTTTTGGATTTGTTTGTGAGTATGGTTTGATGAGTCGACGGAGTCTCTGTGACGGAGAAAGTAGCTCTATTTGTAGGTTAGTCTTTATCATAGACACAGGTTTCTACAGTTTCGTGTGTGTCGACAAGGAAGCAATACTATGCAATAAAGTCTCGATAACTGCGCGAAAGGATCTCTACGTTAAACACTTCTTCGTCACACCCACTACTGAAGGGTTCCACCCAGGAATTTAGGCCCGAAACACAGTTTATAAAGTGACAATTTATGAAGTGCAGAAATCGTGTCCCTCTGCTATAACTGCTCCAAAGCGGTACCAAGTTTCTATAATTGAAATGACGTCTGACCTCTCAGGGCCTTGGAGCCATCGAACACTAATGATTTACTGTACTCGTGCTTCTGCATCGAGAAAAAGAAACATTTCCCGAAAAGCATCAACAGATCGCAGTTTATCATACGAAAGATCCCCCCTATTGACGACATCGTCGCCCACCCAGAGAGCACGTACTTCACCGGTGGTGGCTTTTGCTTTCGCGCGCTCGAGAAGCTATACAATCAGACAAACGCTATAGAGGCATCCGGTCTCAATAGTTGATCCACTTCTTCCCGTGGCGGCGGTGGCGGTGCACAATGCTCGAAAGACGGTAGAAAAGTCAAGGGAGTCGCCCCTCGAGGCATTATAATCTAGCCCGTGTACGCGGCCGACACCCTCGCCCCCGATGGTTCTTACGAACCTTCCGCGAACCCTCTCGGTAGCATTGTGACGGTCTAATTCCGTCGGCTCCCGTAGCCAGCTCGTAGCTCGATGAAAGGAATACCTGGGCGTACGTGAATCGCAGACGTCTCCTGCTAATAGGATCACCAGGTAATCGGTCTGGGCTGCGGTCCAGATCCCTGGGCCCTCGACATTGCTTCGCGGATGACATTTCCCGAATCGCGGTCGATAAGCAGATTACGGAAATTATGGCAGATGGACGCGTTCAGGTTTGTTTTCGTGAATGGGACGAACTTTCGAGTCGGTGTAGTATTTTCACCGAGGGAAAATTGTGGATTGTGACGCCCGAGGGGCTTTACGGTATTGTATGTTTCTGTGTAGAAGCAGAATTCGGTACGGGCGACGCGATTGTGGAGAGTAAGTGGTTGGGATTAGATTCCTCCTTTTCGCTATTGGTACGACTGTAACGAGGCTCGTCTTGACTATTTAGAATGTCGATATGGTTGGGATGAGAAGTACTGTATTAGATGATTTTAAATGATGGATTTGTGATGAGAACTACACGGTGAATGAAGTTTATCCAATCTTGAGTGTGAAGAAGTGTCTAATCTTTCAGTTGACAATTTCGAAAGTACTTGACGAAAAGAAGCTTCCTTGAAACAATAAGTTCTTTAAATTCGAAAAATTTGATAGTTAAATATGAAGAAGAGTGCACAGGTGCACAGTGTTCACAGACCACAGTAATTAAATTCCAATAACACCTCGAGTAGTTTGGAACCGTGTTATACAGTACTAATAATAAACCTTAGTACACGTAACACTGTTACGTTCCAAGGATTAACAAAACTACCCCATTAGATTCCTATACGTACCACCAACTTCGTTACTATTAACCTAAACTTCATTAAACTATTAACAATGACTGATAATACTAAACACGTAGTACCTACTCAGGGTTAATTTATTTTTCTTCAAATTCGATTACCCTATTGAAGTTAAACCTACACTTTACAAGTCATCAGATTCACGGGATTGAAACTCACCGCTCCGCTTCAGCAACGAGTCATCGCGACCGTGAAGTTGGCTGCCGGGTAACAACGACTGGCCAGAGCCGGGGGTCGCCGCTGTTGGGATTCCAGTGGCCAGGGGATGATGAGAGGGCGTAGCGGAATACCACGCCGGTGGCCAACCTGCAGCCTGGCCATTGAACATCCGTAGCTTATCGTAGACACTCTCGGCACCCTGATGCGCCTGCACCGCTGCCGCCTGTTGCTCCTTCTGCGAGGCCAGGTTCCTCAACACCCTGTTGATGGACGATACCTGTGGACAGGGAAACGGCAAGCATGATGAATGAACGTTAAATAGACTGTGTAATTACAGTGTCAGGGAAACCTTTTCGCTTCCGTAGGATGATTCGTATTCGACTGATCCTCAATCATTAGCGGATTATCGAAATACGTTCTAAAGGGTTTGTTCACTGATGCGGAGCGCAGAAAAGAACTGTGATGATTATCGACGTATTACTGCGATATTCGGATGTAGGACGTGTTATATTATTACGATATAAATCATATAATTGCTACCTTTAGAAGGTTTATATTTACGATTCGGAACATTTAGAACGTATTTAGAATTGGATATGAGAGTACATTAGGGATAGATACGAAACTAATACCATTCACTATCGTGATTTACAGGTCGGAATATTTAGACCATGTTTAAAGCTGGACACGAAGAATACAATAAAGATAGATATGAAATTGATAATATACAGTTTCATGGCACCGATAATAATTTCGATGTTACCCGCATGAATATTCATACGGAAATCTCCTGAAAAACCGTATCCACCCCGGTGAATAATGTATCAGAGCTCAAGGAATTACGAAATACCCCTCGAAAATCCCATCCCTATACTACAATAATACCCATTATACCCATGCCGGAACGTTTAATCGATTATCGTAAATTTCGAACGTCATTCGCGCTTAATTAAGGCCGGAACACCGAAGAAAAACGATCAATCGCGGCCGGACGGTGGGTTCTTTGAAACGTTTCGCGAGAGACAGAGAGAAAAAGGGATATAGATTCCTCGCTCGCAACGGCCCTGACACAATCGTTTCTATCGTTACATCGGTTTGTCTCTGGACTCGTCCAGCACTCCCTCAGACCACCAGGGCAGAGAGGAGCAGTTACTTCCTCTCTTTCTCCTCCGACGTTCGCGTTCACGGATAGAGAAAGGGAGAGAGGGAGATAGAGACTACCCAGATGAAAGGACACCGCCATCCAATTATTATTACATAAAACGGTTTCCATGGCTCTTCGCTCCCCCTAACCAACAGGCGGCGGCACGGTCTTCTTCACCTTGTACCGCGACCGAACCACTGGCTAACTCTAAAGTTATAACGAGCCACGGGGGCGAGCCTTGTGCTCTCGACTCGCGCACATAATAGTCTCGGTGTTCTACGCGGTCTCCAACCCTCTGTACACCTCCCCCGTCCTCTAACATTGACGCAGACGGTGCACCCAAGTCGAGCATAGAGCCCGAACCGCGCTCCCATGAAGGCAACCGAAGCACGGGGGATAGAGGATATCGAGCGGAGGCTTCTTAATTACGAGCTCCACTGAAAGGTTCGATGGTAGAGAAAGACAGAGAGTGAGAAAGCAAGAGAAAGGCGTACGAGTGCAAAGCCGATCCTCCTCGCGTGGCTCGACTTAAGACCGACGAAATAATGGCCGTACCCTGTCGGGTGCCAACGACGTTGTTTGGTCTCGAGTGGATGCGTACGCCGTGGCGGGTCAAGAACGTTTTTTTTTCTCTCTTTCTCTCGCTCGAGAAAGAGAGAGAGAAAGGGGCCCGCGTTATTACGTCGAATGAAAGCCGATAAATTCAATCCCCCGGCTCCCGGTGTTTGCGCCTACTTCTCTCGATGGGATCCAGAAGTGCTCGAGCTGGGGGCCTCGAGTAACGCTTTTATAATAAGCGAAACAACGCTTTTCGATCAGTGGCAACAGACTGTCTTCGGAGCAATGCTGAAGAACGTCGCGAAGTGGTGGGATTCACAATCAACACGAGGGATAATCTCTATTGAAGGAGAGAGGATAATCTCTACAGTAAATCCTCCACGAGTATTCGAAGGCTCCCCGGCACAGAACATTAAATATTTTATTAACTAATGGCCATATACAGCTGAAACAAATATTATTAGCTTCCGAATTCCTAGCTCTATCATTCTGCTAAACCTCATCAAAAAGTCAACAAACTTAACAACACAAAGTTACACCTGAAAACCTCTTCTCAGTACTAAGAAGCCTTCGAACACTCATCCAGGATTTACTGTATTTGGATAATCAATCGAAATCGAAGGGGAACAAATCATGGATCGTTCCATCCGATCGCTACCGTATCCTCTCCTCCTGAAACGATGCAAGCCATTTCTTAGGAAATCGCTGTGGCGATAGATGCACGTAGAACAGTTCCAAACCAATGCAATCCGACGATGCCGCGTTCCTTAACTGGAATCAATTCGACGAGGGGGAGTGGGGGGGCGAGCACAGAAAGTTCGTATCGCGGGATTCGTCTCAATCCAGCGGAATAATGGTGACGGGAGGACCGGAAAGGACGTTTCCAGACCTAACTGCAGCACAAGCCCCCCGCGTCTAGGCTCTCTGCTTTCCATCATCGAACCAAGCAACCTGGCTGCTACTGGGCTCCGCATCCACTCGGAGCTCTCTCGCCGCCGCACAACAGCCGCAGAGCACCGATGCAGACCATTACACGCGCGACCGGACACGAATAATTGTGCAACACGCTTAACTGATCCCATTCACCCTGATTCTACCCGCTTCCATCCGCTCGTCGGCGACTAACCCCGTCGCACCCCATTGCCGCGCACGATATGTACCCACCGCAACAGCCTCTCCCCTTTCCACCCCCTCCCCCCATCGACCACGTTACCGACTACCACCACCACGGTCGTCGTCATTGCTATCATTACCGTTAACGTCGTTGCCATCCCCGAGACAATCGTCGTCATCACCCCCGGAAGGATCGAAGATACGCGGAAGAGAACGATCGATCTGCACCAGCAGCCGGATAGCAGTACCCTTATTCGGGTACCGGACCCAACCAGGGAAATTAACCCCCATCCCCC